TCTTTGTTGGCTTATCAGCAATTATTTTTAGGGTATCATAAAGTCGGCTATATATACGCAAATATATCTAGATTAGTCTAGTATACACGTTGTATGAACTGTTTTTGTTGTTCTCGCCAGCTGAGGCCAACAACATTTTATAATAAAAAGTCCAAGCCGCAACTGTACCCCGAAAGTTGAAAACCAAAACAAACCGCCAACGTCGTCGACAGACACAAACACAACGAAAACAGGCAGCAAAAGCTTTGCAGCTCACGAGCTCTTTACGATAAAAAGAATTCGTTTAAATTGCGCGCACAACAAAAGCGCTGGGAACAGTTGCGAATGCAACGTCGGTCAACGACGACGGAACGTCTAGAACGTCCTTCCACCAAATACAAAGGATATTAACTAAAAAAAAATTAAATACAAACAAGTCAAGCAAACAAAAAACAACTCAATCAACTTGAAGAAATTCACCAAAAACTTGAACCTAGTACAAAATGCTTGCCTAGCTAAGCATTAAATTGCGCATACGACGCGTTGTGCAAAATAAGAGAGAAAAATACAAAACAAAGAAAACTTAACTGTGATAAACAACTTATAATTTCTTCATTCAATATTACTGTGTGCTCAAAAGAGTATATATATATACATAACGAAATCTGTGCCACAGTTACGATGTCTGTACCCATGTTATTAACACCGCTGGAAATCCAATCGCTCGATGAGCACATGCAAAATGTAAATATCCTTAAGGATTTATTCTAATATCGCAGTAAATTACATCGCAGTTGGCTCCATCTGACGTCAATGTGCAGTGCAATGTGCAAATGCCATTGTACCTTTTGACATTTTGCTTTAGCTGAAGGTCAAAGCTGCTTGTCAAATTTAAATACTTAGTATATAAGAATATATAGTATAGACTATATAGATTAGAAAATCATGTACTTTCACGTATATTAGATGAAACATGAGCTGCGCATTACTTGTGTCCCCATTTGATTCTTTTTTTTGTGTTAGTTAGGCCTTCCTTGAAATTATTTATACATGATATCATATTCTCTCTACATATATAACTTGTTTATAATAACAGAAAATTGATTATTGCTAGCTGACTCATCTGCAACTGTAGCCCCATTGCTTTTTGGCCCTTATGCTTTCTCTGCAAAAAGCTTTGCCACATGTTGCAAATTGTTGGTGTCACGTGTTCATGCCACAGTTTCGCTGTTGCTATCGGGTTTCGAGTCGCAAAAACTTGTTCACATAAGTGGCACTTCAAGCTGTTGCTCGATAAGATTGTGGCTTATTCAATTTACAAGCGCAATATAAACTATTAATTTATGAACGTATCGATTTCAATTAATCTTGAGAATACAACAACGCGATTTCCCTTTAAATAACCACAATTAGGCAGATGGTAAGAAACTTGTCTTTTACGCTGCATGTAAATAGAGAGAAGAGTCAAGAGAATGTACCAAAAGAGCTTTTTACATGAAATTTCCCAAAACAAAAAACATATGAGTGCAAAAGCTCAGCTGCTTAAGTGTGAGAGAGCAAGCAAGAGAGAGTTTGGTTGGCAGCACGTGCCAAAGATATTAAGACGAAAAACATTGCTATTAGCGAAATTAGGCTCATTTCATCAGTCGACAAAAAACAAAAACAAAAAAAAATATTAATTAAATTATAGACATATGTATGTATATATTTCATACTCTCAGGTGTTTTAAGTCTCTTGGAAATTTCTTGTTGCTACAGAAGTTGTTGGCAAAACTTTTTGTTCTGAAAGCCTTAGCAAGGCTTCGCAAAATTGTGCCAAGAGCGCAAGGGGCCTGGCCAAATGATTGACGTAACACACAGTAACAAAAAAAGCAAAAACAACATACGGAAACTAAGCCAAACTAGTATATAGGTATATATAGTTGGCATCGTAATAGCTGCCAAATTTTATAGAACGATTCTCCCGAAAAAGTCGGTGCTAATTTTTTTTGCTGTTTTGATTTTTTGGCTTGTAGCGCTAAATTTTGGCCATTCGCATTCGATGTTTCTGTTGGCCCGATTCGACTCGCGCTGCGTGGGCGCTTCTTTCTGTTGAAATTGTAATATTCTATAAATTTCGACGTCCCAGTTGATCAAAATAAAATCGCGACCCTAACACGTGATCGCGTGGCAACAATAAGAGCCGTTAAATAAGTGTCGCTTTTGTATGCATAAATTTAGAAACATTTCGCTTTTGGTTGCTAGGGCAGCCGCCACAGTGACGTCATGAAACGTTGTTTACAACTACAGCGACAAGTACATCGATTGTGTTGGCAGCAGCGCGCGCGTTTCTATGCACAGGTAAATCGCGCGCGACAGTGCGTTTTAAAACGCGCGCGCGTTTTTGTTAGCTTTTTCAAAAGTTCTTTGATAGAAGTTCAAAGTTTTGATTGTTTTGTGATAAGCTTTATTTTGATTTATACTCATAGAGTTGATTTAGATATATGCGTGTGCTCTTATAATGTTTTTTATATCAAATATCCGTTTTTGATTACAATTTTTATTCGCATCTTTATATTGTAGTAAAAAGTTAGCTTAAACTTAGATTTATTTAGAAATACTTTATATATTGTAGTTGTTGATATATTTGACTTCCATAGTTTGTATTCACAAACACGCCACACTTTCCTTGTTTTCTTTGTTTAGCCATGTATTCTCGGGTACAAAGACCACAATTTATATATTTTAAATATACATACGTATATATGTATATATATATATATATAAATATATTATAGAATTGTAGATCGCAATGCGTTGTTCTGCTCGGTTGACACGTGTCGGTCGTGTAAACATAGTGTATATATGTATATCATATACTGTACATATGTACATATATACACATATACATATGTATGTTTATAAGACAGTCAACATGTTTATATGTACATATATACATATAGATCGTAGCACATTCGACAATTGGGTCTGCTCTGATTAGCCAGCCTGAACTAGTGGCTGATTAAAGCGTAATTAGAAATTCTTGAAGTCATCATCGCAATCGCAGCTCGTCTGGGGGGAGGGGTCAACACGTGATTCTGTTTGCACTTGCGCCAAAGTCACGAGCTGATGAAGCGCATCTGATAACCTGCGATCCATATTCTAATAATATAACTGATTCGTACGCTGTCGCAGCTTCCTTATCGTTCAGTTAGTTTTCGGTGTATTTTAGCCGCTGTCTGATGCTTTTGGCATTCAGTTGCTGCGCGCATTTCATAGTTGTCGCCATGCTCGCCATCTCACTAATCCTTGGCCTTGTCGTCTCATCTGTTTTACAGTGCGCCGATGCTGCAGCAGCCATCACTGCCAACAACTATGGCGGCACCGGCAACGAGCTGCTCGAGTCGGCTTCGCTGGCTGGCAACTGCAGGCCCACGATGAGGAAGTTCAATGTACGGCTGGAGACGCCGCTGGCACCCGAGGAGCAACTGGGTCTGACTGGCGATGCCAAGGCCCTGGGCGAGTGGCAGTTGTCGCGCTGTGTGCCACTCGAGCGCTTGGACGATCTCACCTGGCAGACTAATGTGCGGCTGCAGTCTTGCCGTCAGCTGGAGTACCGTTACTTTGTCTACATTGAGAACGCGGCGGGCTACAAGCAAATCCGTCGCTGGGAAACACACTTCAAGCCGCGCGTGCTGCATCCCTGCCCGGAGCAGCAGTGCCACGGCCCGCTGGATGTCTTCGGCTTGACCAGCTTGGACGAGAGCTCGGCCCAGGTGCATCGGGGCTGGCTCAACCACGAGGCCATCGTACAGCTGAAGTTCAATGGCGAGAAGATGTTCCAGGTGCATGACATTGAGACCTTCGATCCCCAGCATGTCCAGCTGAAAATCGTGCCCGTCGAGGAGTCCGCCGGACTGGTGGTAGAGTACAGCAAGCAGCTGTACGGCAAGAGCCAACTGCAGCTGCAGCCGGTCCATGGCGTTTCGTATACGAAAGGCGATATTGTCATCTTCCATATCACCTTGCCCCTGGATCGCATGATGCTGCAGAACTTCCGGCTGGAGTGCTACAGCTTGGACCAAGAGCTCCTGGGCAGTGCCAGCCTGAGTGCCACACAGCTGGTGGGCAGCGAGGGACTGCTGCAGCTGCACATCAAGTCCGCCGAGCGGCCGGAGGAGACGCTGGCTCGCCTACGCCTGCCCTATGTGGTGGTGCAGCCATATCAGTACTCGCCGCTCGACTTCAAGACCACCTACGCCCACTACTGGCCGCGCAGCTGGCCCAACCTGGATGTGGGCCATCGCGGCAATGGCAAGAGCTACATTGCCGAGGCGCCGCTGGAGCGGGAGAACACAATCGCCTCGTTCCTGAGCGCCTATGCACATCATGCGGATATGGTGGAGCTGGATGTGCACCTGACGGCTGATGGGATCCCAGTGATCTATCACGACTTTGGCCTGCGCACTGCGCCGCCGGGCAAGCTGATCGAAAAGCCCGAGCAGCTGGAGTACGTGCTGATCAAGGACATCAACTATGAGCTGCTCAAGCGGCTGCGCATCTTCTCGGTGGTCAATGGCAAGGTGATGGAGTATCCTGCACACAATGCGGAGCCACGGCCGGAACATCGCATCTTCCCCAGACTGGTCGACGTGCTGCAGCAGCTGCCCAAGTCGCTGGGCATCGATGTGGAGATCAAGTGGCCGCAGCGGCGCCAGGGCGGCGGCACTGAGGCGGAGCAGACCATCGACAAGAACTTCTTTGCGGATCGTGTGCTGTACGAGGTCATTCAGTTTGGCTGCGGCCGCCCGCTGATCTTCTCCAGCTTCGATGCTGACATGTGCACCATGCTGCGCTTCAAGCAGAACATCTTCCCCGTCATGTTCCTCACTCAGGGCGAGACCAAGAAGTGGCAGCCGTTCAGTGATCTGCGCACGCGCAATTTCCTGGCCGCAGTCAACAATGCTCAGGCCTTCGAGCTGGCCGGCACGGCGCCACATGCCGAGGACTTTCTGGGCGAGAACGCTGCCCAGTTGCTGGAGCAGGCGCGTGTCCAGGGCCAGATAATCGTCATCTGGGGAGACGACTGTAATTCCAAGGAGCGCGTCAAGTATTTCACGGAAATTGGAGCCACGGCCACCTGCTACGATCGCAGCGATCTCTATATGCCCGAGACGAAGCAGCGATCGTTCTTCAATTCCAGCGCTCTGCTCGCCGAGTTCGAGGCTCAATGCAGAATGTAAGTGGGGAAACCGGGAGATGAGGGATGGGTATTGAGGGTGGCCATTGGGATGGGCCCATAAACATAGTCTTAATTATTACACTGAGATCACAAAAAAAAAAAAAAAGAAAATAGATTACTCAAGCTAGCGATCTACACCAAATAACCAGAACTTGTATATACTATTGCGCACCTATCCATAGAATGTAAATATCAGAGAAACAAATTTATATATATATATTTTGTAATAATCAATGTGAACTCAGCTTAAGTCTTATTGAAGCTATATTTGTATTTCGTTCTAAGCAAATTGATTTTATATTTATTCAAATAATGCCGAAAGCAAAAATTGTACAGAAAAGTTTCGCTGGCGAGCTCAGGAAAGGAAAAATTAATTATATAAATTACTAATTTCTATGAAAGAATTAAAATGAAAAGCTTTTAACTAAATTTATATGCTTAACTGCTATTCAAATTTTTAATCCTTGTTCTGCTTCATATGAACAATGAAAAGAAAAGAAAAAAATACTATTTTTGTATAAATTATAAAAGACAATGCTATAAATTTCATTCATAAAAAAATGAGAAAAAAAGCAAACGGACATGGCTTTATGTAAAAATGAAAAAGAGAATGATTGATATATACTTTAAATTTATATTATAATGATTTAAAATGTGACAATATGTTGATAAAACAAAGAAAAAAAATACAAAACGTTTGGTATAAAATGCTAACAAAATTTAAAAAAAAAAAAATGAAAAAAGAGAAAAAAAAAAAGAAATTAAATAGGAGCTTTCTGCAAAGAATAAAAAGCAATAAAAATATATGGAAAACCCAAAAGAAATCAATTCAATATTTATCAAATTTGAACCAACCTTTAAATTAAATTTAAATACATTTAAATACACATTTAAATAAACATTTAAATTTGATATAAAAGTATGCGTAACACAAGAGGGAAAGAGAGGGAG